CCCATCTCTTAAAAAATAAAAAAATAAATCAATAAATTAGCTGCGTGTGGTGGTGCATGCCTGTGGCCCCAGCTATTCAGGAGGCTGAGGTGGGAGGATCACCTGAGCCCAGGAGACAGAGGCTGCAGTGAGCCGAGAGTGCACCACTACACTCCAGCCTGGGTGACAGAGTGAGACCCTGTCTCAAGAAAAAAAAAAAAAATTCATACAAATAAATTGTTAGGATTAATTAAAAAGTTTGGTAAGTCTGCTAAATACAAACATCAAATGTATTTGTATGGACCTTTGCTCTGGAACTTTATTAAAATACAGGTTTGGCTGGGTGCAGTGGCTCATGCCTGTAATCCCAGCACTTTGGGAGGCTGAGGTAGGTGGATCACCTGAGGTCAGGAGTTCAAGACCAGCCTGACCAATATGGTGAAACTCTGTCTTTATTAAAAATACAAAAATTAGCTGGACATGGTGGTACGTACCTGTAGTCCCAGCTAAACTCAGGAGGCTGAGACATAATTGCTTTAACCTGGGAGGCGGAGGTTGAAGTGAATCGAGATCACACCACTGCACTCTAGCCTGGATGACAAAGCGAGACTCCATCTCAAAAAATAAATAAATTAACTAAATTAAATACAGGTTTTAGGGCTCTACCCCCATTTCTAAATCAGTAGCTCCAGGGCAGGGCTCAAGAATGTGCATTTCTTTTTTGTTGTTTTTTGTTTTTTTTTGAGACGGAGTCTCACTCTGTCACCCAGGCTCGAGTGCAGTGGTGTGATCTCGGCTCACTGCAACCTCCACCTCCTGGGTTCAAGCGATTCTCCTGCCTCAGCCTTTCGAATAGCTGGGATTACAGGAGCCAGCCACCATGCCCAGCTAATTTTTGTGTTTTTAGTAGATACAGGGTTTCACCATGTTGGCCAGGCTAATCTTGAACTGCTGACCTCAGGTGATCCCCCGGCCTCACCCTCCCAAAGTGCTGAGCTGCCGGGCCCCACCAAGAATGTGCATTTCTAGGGGTATCAAAAAATAGTAAGAATGAATAAGATCTAGTATTTGATAGCACAATAGAGTAACTATAGTTGATAATTTAATTGTCGATCTTAGAATAACTAAAAGAGTATAACTGGATTGTTTGTAACACAAAGGATAAATGCTTGAGGTAATGGATACCCCAATTACCTTGATGTGATAATTACATGTTATATGCCTGTATCAAAATATTTCATGTACCCCATATATATACCTACTATGTACTCACAAAAATTAAAAATTAAGAATCTGCATTTTTAATCAGTTCTCTCTGGTGATGCTGATGCTCTTCATCAGGGGACCACACTTTGAGAATGATTGCTAGAGATTAACAACAATGAAATTTACAGTAAAATCACTTACCCAGGAATCTAACAAATGATGTATAATATGTAAACACAGAATACTATAAATCACTGTGGATATAAATGAAAGAGAATCTAAATAAATGGGTATTCCACTTACATACTTTGGAAAACTCAATATTCTGGAAGTGACAATTTGTCTCAACCTAAAATGCAATTTGATTCAAAATTTCCATAGGTTTCTATTTGTGGAACCCAATAAATCTGACATGTATATTGAGGCATTGTGAGTAAAGAGCACAGATAATTGAAACAGGCTTCTTACTTCCTGGGTTTGAATACTGGCTCCATCAACTACTCTGTGACTATGGACACGTTACTTAACCCTTCAAAGAAAACTGAGGAATGATACAATTTGGTGCCCATATGGGAAAAACAATTGACTTGAACTTCACACTGTAAAGAGCAATTCTAGGTAAACTACAGATCTAAATGGGATGGGTAAAAATATAAAGTGTGTGGAGGATAATCCAAGAGAATATCTTCAAGATTTCAGAGAAAAGAAATCTAAACACTTACACATGGGTACTAACCCCCCCAAAAAAGAATGATACATTTTACAACATTAAAATTAAGATCTTGTGTTATCAGAAGAAACCATTAGGAGAATGAGAAGGAAAGTTACACACACAGTGGGAAAGGATTTTTAACACCTATGACTGACGAAAAGCCTGAATATATAGAACTTCACAAAACAAACAAACAAAAAAGCAAAATAAAAAAACCCTTCTTCAAAACAACTAAAACCAAAAAACCAACAACCCAAAAAGCCAAAATGACAAGTAACCCAATAAAGAAACGGACAAATAATTTAAACAGGAATTTCACAAAGGAGAAAATCCAAATGGTCAAAAACAATAAAAAACCCTTAATTTTATTACTAATCAAGGAAACGAAAATCAATTGATTCTATACTCCAGAATGGCTGAAAATTAACTGGGTTTTGTTGAGAATGTAAAGCAACAAGAATTCTCAAGTACCACTGGAAGAGGAAGAAATTGGTACAACCACTTATTGTAGCATTACCCAGCCAAGATAAACATACACATAATCCTGTGACATCCAAAGTATATACATCCAAAGAAACATGTACATATGTGAACCAGGAGATAAAACTATAATGATAGTGGCATGTATTATTCCTAATAGCCTCAAACTAGGAACAAACTGTATGTATCCTAACTGTAGAAAGGGTATAAAATTATGTGACAGCCACAAAATGGAATGCTATACAATGATAAATGAGTACAGCTACTTGCAACTATATGGCTGAATCTTGAAAACACAACACTGAGTGAAAAAGCCTGACTAAAAAAGTAGGCAGCATAAATTCTAACATAAGGAAATAAATAATTGCCATAAGAGAGGGTATAGTGATTTCCTTGGCAAGGGGGAGGGACTCCTGACCAGGAATGGGAGCCTGAAGGACTTCTGAGGTGTTGGTAATGTTCTTGACCTGTGTGGTGGTTACATGGCTGTTTGCTTTGTACATTAATGTTATTGTTAAGTGTCTATGCACCTTTCTCTATACTTTATTTTTCATAATTAAAAAAAGGTAGGAGAGAGGAAGATAGAGAGGGAGGGTCTGGAAGGCTAAAATTTCTAAGTTGTTGAACCTAGGCTTTGTCAAAATTGAAAAGGAATCATGGGTTCTAAAATGTTCGTATACATCTTAGAGTAGGAATAGCTCAGAAGATAATGTCAGATAGATTTTCCATCATTGGAGAAGAGGATAAAACTGCCAAATACAGAAGGAGGAAGCAACTCCATGAGGATGGGGCTAGCTAGATCCCTGAGAAGAGGTGTAGTATTCTGGAGTAGAGGAATGGGAAGGCAGATGGAAAGAAACAATTGTTGAGCATGTTAGTGCCCATGAATCCCGCTTTTTCTCACCTCCAAGCCTGCATATATGCTGTACCTAGCCAGCTCTTCCCATCACTCTTCCCCTCCAAGGAACTCTAGCCCTTGCCCCCGCCTTTCTAAGAGCTGCTCATCCCCACTCGGCAGGGTTACATGGCATGGTACCTATCTGCTCTCTATTCCACAGACCAATCTTTCACCTTCTGTAGACAAGTGACCCCTATGTTACAGGCTGTCTGGCCGAGGTCTGGACAAGGAAGAACTGAGAATACCCTGGAGGGTCTCCCCAGAGAGGAGACAAAGATAGAACACTGGATGGGGCTTTCCTCCCGAGAGTTCCTTCCCTCAGTAGTCTTGGAGAGGGGTGAGCAAGGGAAGAAGTGAGTTTGAGTTGGGGCTCAGCACAAGTTCCTATCCCTACTTTTAACCCAGGCCCTCCCTACCCCAGAGAAGTTGAGTGGGGTAGGTATTAATAGTCTCATTTTATCAATTAGGAAGCATAAACCCTGAGAAATAAATACCTTACTTAAGGGTAACAAAGGCAGAGTTGGATTACAAATATTGGTCTCTGGAGTCCAGGGTCTGCGTATAGACAGGAGGTGAGCACTCCAGAATTACTTTAACAGTCATCTTCTGCACTGCCTGCCCCCTCCCAGCCCCTACCCCCGCCAGATACTGTAGACACAGACGCTATCCTCAAGTATGGAAATGTACAGTTTCTAAGACCTTGTTTCAGGGGAACATGGGAAAGGCTCAAAAGACAGGAATTAAAGTGTTTTGGGATAATATCCATTGTTGGTCAGAGTGCTCAAGAAGCAAGACATGGGGTAACCAATCCTATGTAGGAAGCTGTTTGCGCAGTCTGGAGTCCTAACGTCCCGGAGCGTAGCTATCCTTCTGCCTTCTACCTTTTCCTCTCTGGCCCCACCAGAGCTCCTGAAAGTCACAGACATGCAATTCAAAAAGTCTGTAGGGAGTGCTTGCTAGGAATGCTCAGTAGCTACTAAGCAATGTAGTCCTGGCTACACTGGAGTGGGGGCCTGTAGAAGAGATCAGAGGGGAGAGGGTCAAGAGTTATCCTGGGTTCAGGCCCAGGACTGTTTGGGGACACACATAGAAGTTCATTTCCCTTTCTTGCTCTTAAAGACATCCACATTCACTGATTTGGCATGTATTTATCAAGGCCCTCCTTTTGGTTGAGGAGACCCCTCTGGAAAGAATGGTATCCATTTCTTCCTGGCAGTGTTCACCATTCTCCAAACCACTGACCTGCGGCCTGGTTCATGAAGTGGTGGGTGGTTACTAGACAAAGATCTCTGAATAAACCTGTCCTTCCACAGTCCTATTCCTGGAAGTCTCAGTGAGTCTATACCAGCCCTGGAAATGAGGAATCCAGAGGCCAACTCCCATCCTCAGCTGAGTTATTTCCAAGGAACTGGACTGCTCCGGCATCTGCCCTGTGAACAAGAGCTCCAAAGCAGCACAGTCTGGCCTTGGTTCAGGTGCCAAGTAACTACCCAGACCTCAGGGCACCTGCCACATGCATGACTTCTTACCTCAGGCTCCCACCAAAGTCCAAAGGGCCTCCTACACCATGCCTGATGAGGCTGGGAAACAAGGGGAGAAGTCAGGGAAGAGGCCATAATAGGCCTTAGCCTATTCCTGAGGTTGGTTTGTCTACCGACTTGGCCATTTCTTGGAGTTCCAGTGCAAAGTTCCAAAGGCCCACTCTACCCATAAAGAAGAGGCTCACCCATCCCAAGAACAGCCGAAACCAGCTCACTCATTTATTTGACTGAGAACATTAAGAAGGACAACAAAATTAAACATTCTTTAATAAAATTCCTATAGAAAACTCAGTCATAGGGCAAATACTCAGTTCTCTTTCCCATATCACTGAGGATTGAGAGCTCCCAATATTCTTTGGAGAATAAGCAGTAGTTTTGCTGGATGTTGCCAGAACTCAGAGAGATCATCCATTTACACATTCAAACCAGTAGTTCCTATTGCACATATTAATATTACTTGCCCCTAGCACCCTAAATATATGGTACCTCAACAAATAACTTAAAAGATTTCCATGTGGCCTGAAACCATTTCAATTTGAACTAATATTCTTGAAAAAAATCACATTATTACAAGTTTTAATAAATACAGTTAAGAAGAGCTGGCATTTTTCTAAAATACTGAATTTCAGATCTGGAGTTTATTCCATAAATAGGTTCCTTTTCATTTGCTTGCTTTCTTGGATACATTTGCTCAAGTATTATTCTCTATGAAGTGAACTCTTTCATAGATACCATATAAAAACTGTATTAATATGTGCCTCATTATAGAAGCAGCTGGAAGAACTGGATCACACAGTTACCTAACTGAAAAGTAACTTAGGAAAAAGCTCTGCTTTTTGTAAAACTTTAAATCACAGGCTGAAGAATACCAAAGAAACATTTATATAGAACTCCCACTAGAAATTTTATAAATATATATGTAGCATATTTATATATATTATATTTGCCTCACCAGTAGATTTTCAGCAAGTCTGGCTGGAATGATGCTATCATGGAAATAAATATTAACAAAAGAATTAATGAGTATCCACAGGTTTACAAGATTTCTTCTGGAAAATAATCAAAAATTCAAATTATATTATAATTTGCAGTTTACACAATTTTAAAAGGGAAGAAAGATGCCTTTCTTTTTAGCCTCATTTGGAAAGTAAGAACAGCCACCAACCCCCACGTGTGGAAAAGTTGTTGGCTGAGTGACAATACTTGGTCACAACATTGAAAAGAAGTATTTACACCATTCTGGGAAAGTACCAAATATTAGAAAGAAACAAACAAAAACAGAAACAATCTCTAGTAGCATTCCTTGGCGTGCAAAGTCAGCAGGAAATGATTATCCATTGACAGTTTTCATGATAAGTCTTGGAAGCATTCAAAAAGCAGAGGGAATCATCGGGGATTGTTCAGATTAGGTTCTGTGGGATGCCTTGTTCTTAATTTAACTCTGAGTTTCAGGATTTCATTCCCTTTATTACATCTCTGACAGGGTCATGTTCAATTTAGTGCAAGTGCAAAATGAAAACGAAATGAAACCAACAAATACATTAGGAGCGAAGGCTGATCGTTAAGATCTGTAGTCTTTCCGAACTGTGTGGGCCATCCAGTTCACTTTAGTAGTCCAGCTTTCCCTGAGCGCCTCATCAAATTTTTGCTTAAACTGTTTGAGTGCTTCTTCTTCACTCTTCCCTAATGCAAGAGAGTCCTAAAATGGAAGGGGAAAAATATGATTTTATATAACTTCAGTAGAGATGTGCAAATAATAAAGTCTGCAGGAGGCTAGATTAGTTGTGCCTCCCCAGCCACCATCAGGCAGCACGCTGCATGTTCTTATTTAAATATCATCTGCAGGAGGCAGAACCCCAAGATAGGGAGATAATATGACTCCTTCCAAAAGGTTTTTGAAGATGAAAATAATTTATAATTACTGCAGGACACACAGCTGCTTGCCACTACCACCCAAATCCAGTAAGATGACTCAAGACCTACTAAGACCCTGACAAGAAAAAGGCAGGCTGTTGAAAATCAAGGTGCCAACCCGCGCCTGATCTGCGGTCTTTCAGTAATGTGAGTAAGAAGGCTATAGCCCAATACCAGTCTACTTTATGCCCCTTCTACTGATGGGAAAATCTTCTGGGTTACAAGCTACTCTTCAAAATTCCTCCTTTATGTGAACTTCCCAGATTCTTTCCCTCCTGACTAAGAACCATCTTAGAGGAAATGACTTTGTTCTACTCCCTTCAGCCACTTGAATAAAACAGGCAGCTAAAACTGAGCTCAATGTCCACAAAGTCCAAGACAGAAGGAAAAGTGGTTTTATACCTTAAGATACTGTATATCCTTGACTGATGTGAGCTCAGGAAGCCCTGCAGTCAACATCAGCGCAAAGAGAGTGATGAAAAGATTCCCATGCCGTCGTAAAATCAGATATGCATCCTCACAACACTGGCGGAACCTTTGGGTGATGCAGCAAATCACATGAGCACAGTGTTAGAGGGGAGACAGCACATTTCATACAGGAAACTAAGAAAACATAGCTAGATTTTCTATTAGAATAAGAAAATTCTTACTGAACTAAAGGTTCATTTCTGATTTTTACTTCTTTCTGTGAAAACTGTCCCAGGACTAAAATCTACATAATACAATCAATCTCTCTAACATCACAAATATATTTTTCAAAAACACAACTAAATAGAAATTCTATGATGAAAAGCCATTACATTTTTATTAATAATCTAGACATTTTAATTCTATAAGACGCAAGAACTGATTATTAAATCAGTTATAATTATAATCCACAAGGATTTCTGAACATACTTCTGGTTTCTGTATTTGTGGTCTGATTCCAGAAACTAATTTTTTTAATGTACCCCCAATCAGTGTCAGTGCTTTTACTCCTTCCTGTCATCCTGCCTTCCCTCTCTCTTCTCTTCAAGATGGTCCTTCAAGAGGATCATCCAATGTTGTTTTTTTGAGATGGAGTCTCACTCTGTCTCCCAGGCTGGAGTGCAGTGGTGTGATCTTGGCTCACTGCAACTTCTGCCTCCCAGGTTCAAGCAATTCTCCTGCCTCAGTCTCCTGAGTAGCTGAGATTACAGGCATGCGCCACCACACCTGGCTACTTTTTGTATTTTTAGTAGAGATGGGGTTTCACCATGTTGGTCAGGCTGGTCTTGAACTCCCGACCTCCAGTGATCTGCGTGCCTTGGCGTCCCAAAGTGCTGGGATTACAGGCGTGACCTACCATGCCAGGCTGAGGACCATCTTATTTTGCCAAAGAGAAAACCAGACCCACTGAGGTATATTCTGAGGAAACCCAAACAGAACTATAAAGGATAGTGACAATCATTTGTTAAGTACGTGTGGGTTACATGATATGTCTCTAATCATCACAGTAGCCCTTAATTTTATATTTTTGTCCCCATTTTAAGATGAAACAAAGGCAAAAAGACAAGTATTATGCTTGGGAACATGTAGGTAGTCAGTAATAGATCAGAGATTTAAAAATTTGCCCTGAATCCTGGTTCCCTTACTGTACTCCATACACAATGACAGCAGATGTCTTTTCAGCATTTTCCTATCAACTGTCTTAATAGTTTCAGAGAATGTTCTGAAACAGGTAAAAGGTAGTATATTACTGGAAAAAAATACAATAACTATTTTAAATTTCTAGCATTCTGTTTCTCCTATCTGAGAATTTCTGAACCAGCACAGTAATCTGACAGGCAAATTCCCCCAAAAGCTTCCTATAATCAGACTGAATATCTCCCAGATCCACATATACTACAGCTAAGAAATGCTAGACCAGGTGTTCAGATGAGAAAATGTTAGAAGTGTTCAGCCTTGGCACAAGGGCAGTACTCACCGGCCAAACTTTTCTGTATTTCCTGTTTTTCCTTGTTGAATGACATGGATGAAATCATAGGTAAGAATAAAAGGCACTCGCTCCCTTTTAATGCCAAACTTAGATTTGAAATTTCCAAGAATATGTCCAAAGTCAATGTGGAAGAGCTGCAAAACAAATGGGATTTAATTTTCTTCATTTTTCTGGTGGGTTCCAAATATAAAGGCAAAACCTCCACAGTCCTAGACCCCCAGGAACTATACCCATCCTCATCTGAGCCCTTCTTCCTCTGTTTATAGTTCACTGAGCCAGGTGAGAGCAGAGCATATCTAACACTCTTAAGACTTTTACAATCAATAATAAATAACCCTGATATTAAACTGTAGATATCTAGTGGAAAAGGAGACTCTTTAGAAAGAAAAATACATCCAAAGAATTAAAATTCTGATTTTTAAAAAGTAAAATAGTTCTATAAAACATAACAAGAAAAGAGTACAGGTTGGGTGTGGTGGTTCACGTCTGTAATCCCAGCACTTTGGGAAGCTGAGGCAGGAGGATCATTTGAGCCCAGGAGTTCAAGGCCAGCCTGGGCAACATAGCAAGACTCCATCTCTACAAATGAAGGAAAAAATTAACCCAGCATAGTGGCACACACCTGTGGTCCTAGCTACTCAGGAGGGTGAGGTGGGGCAATTGCTTGAGCCTGGGAGGTCGAGGCTGCAGTGGGCCATGATCATGCCACTACACTCTAGCCTGGCTGACAGAGTAATGACCCTGTCTCAAAAAAAAAAAAAAAAAGTACATCCTTGCCCTACTAGCTCCCCACATCAAGTGCTACTCTTTAGAGGTAACTTCTTACTCTTCTCACTAGGTGTTTTTCCTGGTGTCTACCTCCATTTTTCTAAATAATATGTTTATACTCATTTTTGCTCCCTAATTGTATATTACTATTCTTACTGTGGAAGATAAAGATTTAGTACTTTTATGCTAACATAATGCTACACACTGTGGCACATTATGTCATAATTTCTGGTTACATCAATTTCAGTGTTTTCATTTTTCACATGTTGTTCACCTTTTTTCCTTGAGAAAACTGTATGCATTTATTCATTCATTCATTTAGCTTAGTGTCCTATGACCTTAGCATTAATTCTTCCCAAACTCTCCTTAAAAATCTACAAATCAAACAACAACAACAAATCTACAAATCATTTTCAAAACTGTTTTCCAGACAGTCAGGTAATCTACTGGTTTCTAGCTGGGATGGTTGTTCTCTGGTGCTGCTGCAGAGCCATCATCCTGGGCCTTCCCTTTCCTCTTCTCCCATTTGGAGCCTGTTTTCTGTGTCCCCCATTACATTCTCTTTTGGTTGAGACCGGGGCTTCTCAACACTGGCACTACTGACATTTTAGGCCATATAATTGATATGGGGTTCTGTCCTCTATGGGTGTTTAGCAGCATCCCTGGCCTCTACCCACTAGACTACCCCACCCCCCAGTTATGACAACTAAAACTGTTTTCACATATTAACAAATGCCCCTGAGGGAAAAATCACCCCACTTGAGAATTACTGGTTTAGGCTCGTTTTGGTAGATGCCCTTATTCTGGCAGTCTCTGAGAAAAGATGCAGAGGAGTGACAAGTTTTGTGACCCTGCAAGTTGGAAAAATGTCTTCATTCTACCCTTTATACTTGATTGGGCGTGGTAGCGTGTGCCTGTGGTCCCGGCTGCCTGGGGAGGCTGAGGCAGGAGAATCGCTTGAACCCAGGAGGCGGAGGTTGCAGTGAGCCGAGATCGCGCCACTGCATTCCAGCTTGGGCCAGAGCAAGACTCCATCTCAAAAAAACAAAAAACAAAAAACAAAAAACAAAAAACAAAAAAAAAACCCACTTTGGTTATCCAATTTTAGGTTAGAAATCATTTTCCCTCAAAATTATGAAGGCTAACGTGCACTGTCTTATAATTGCCAATGTAGCTATTGAGGAGCCAAGTAATTTTGACTTCTAAACTCTGTTATGTGGCCTGCTGTGTCTCTGGGAAAGTTTTAAAACTTTCTCTTTATGTCTGATGCACTGAAATTTCATAGTGCAGGTCCTTAGTAAGGGTGTTTTTCTTCTGTTATCAGATAATTTTTGTGCTATTTTGACTAGATATTCATGAACATTGGCTCTGAGAAATGGCTTAGTATTATTTGCTTAGTAAGTACCCTCCCTTGTTTCCTCTTCTCTTTTACTTCTTCTTTTTTTTTTATTTTTTTGAGACGGAGTCTCGCTTTGTCACCCAGGCTGGAGTGAGTGGCGTGATCTAGGAGGCTCACTGCAAGTTCCACCTCCCGGGTTCACGACATTCTCCTTCTTTCTGGAATTCCCATTAGGCTGAGAGTATACCTCCCTAGACTGAGTCTCTATTGTTTCTGGATCTTTTCTCTATTTATCATATTTTTTTGGAGACATTAAGGCATGGCGGATTAAAAAAAAGAATATGAGCCAAACTGCCAGGGTTAAAATCCTGACACGTCTATTCTCTGTTGCTTTAATATCCTCACTTGTAAAATGGGGCTAATACCACCACTCTATAAGGCTGTCATCAGGCCTGAAGGCATTAGATTATATATAAAGCACTTACAACTATGCCTGCTACAAAATATTTACACTATTACTATTTTAACTTTTTGTTTGTTCCTATTTCTGAGTTTCAAGACCTCTATGTTCTGACTATAAAAGACAGAATCCTATTATTACTTTAAAGATACAATGTATTTTTTTGCTTTGATTTTTAAAATCACCCTCTGTTTACTGCAGTTACCCTGTTTTCCCAGAGTTCTTTTCTTTTCTTCCCTATTTTGCTTATTTGGTTTCTATCTTTCATGGTAGAGGCTTCCCTTAAATGTCTGTTAATCCAGTAGAGAGTAGAATGGTGGCTGCAGGGGCCGGGGAGATATTGGTCAAATAATACAAAATTTCACTTAGATAGGAGGAATAAGTTCAGCAGATCTGTCTTACAATATGGCAACTATAGTTAACAACAATATATTGCATTCCTGAAAACTGCTGAAAGATTAGGTTTTAAATGTTATCATCACAAAAAAGATAAGTATGTGAGGTAATACACAGGTCAGCTCAATTTATCACGTCCACAATGAAGAGATATTTCAAAACAATATGTTGTACATGATAAACAAACAATTATTGTCATTTTTTAAAAGTATATTAATCCTTAACCATTCATATTTAACAATGAATCACTAAAAAGCTGAATGAAAATTCTATGTACGTGGTAGGCTTGCTTGTTGATTGGTGGACTTCCCTGTAGAGAAACTAGGGAGAAATCTCAACTGTCAGATCTGTAGGACTTTTCAATGGAACCAATCAGATTTCTAGAATAGAATCATCTAGTCTCTCGCTGAGGGTCAACTATACATCTGGCTGTCAGTGTTCTTAGAATAAAGCAAGTGGAAGTGGCTGTAGATTGTACCATTTACTATGCTGCCTTTCGCTCATCTCCATTTTTAATATGGGACCCTTTCCTGTAGCCTCTGTGGAAATAAGTGTGCTTGAGTCAGAACCAGTTTGTTCAGAGAATAAATCTATCTCCTTCTTGGTATAGGGAAGGGGACTTGAGTGCCTAACTGTTCCATATATAAACTGCCAACTAGTTCTGTTTCAGCCTCTTTCTATATCCCTCCTTGAACAGGGATACATGGTGCCTCTGATTCCAGAGCTTTTATGAGACTTGCATACCCCTTCACAAGTACTGACTTTCTATTAAGTCACTGCCGCTTCTCTATCTCACTTTCTATCACCCTCAAGTCTGGTAATATGTTGCACCCACTGTGGCCTATTTTCCTATCATCTTTGACTTCTTGAGTTTACATATTTCTTAATTCCTTATTATTGTTTTAGAGGTGTATCTGAAGAAAATGGAGATAAATCTAAGTATTCAATGTGATTGGCCAGAAGTCCCAGGGAATCCTTTTAAGTATGGACACAAGATTCTCAATCCTACATAGTGCATTCATGTATTATAGTGCATTACAAATTCATTCCACATCAACTCTCAAAGCCCAAGCCAGAACTAATCCAGATTTCCCAGGAGATACAAAACTCTGGGTCCCTCATGGAACCAAAGTTCACACAGTGACCCAGAGAGACTTTCATTCTAGTATGCCGCGAGTGTGGGAATTCCTAGGGTGGCTAAATTGAAAAATTATCTAAGATATCTCATCTGTCTTTGCTTAATACAAAAAATGTTTGCAAACATGTCACTCTGAAAAATGAAATTTTCATTTGAAAACTTAAGCACTTTATAAATAACACGGCCTAGATTCCCTAGGTACCCCAGAATGCTATTACTCACATGACTGTTCTCCCTTCTCCCATATATGATTAGGTATGATGTTCTAAAAGAGAAAATAACTCAAGTGGGGTTCATCCCAACTTTTTTTTTAAAGCATTGGTTATCTTTAAATTTAATACATCCAGTACTTTATCTGCTCCTTCTGTTAGGTACAAATGTATCCCAAATACAATTTCTTATATTGAAAGAAAAGGCCACTTTAACTACAAAAATTTTTTCAATAATTTTTTTTTGAGATGGAGTTTCACTCTTGTCGCCCAGACTGTAGTGCAGTGGGGCGATCTTGGCTCACTGCAACCTCCGCCTCCTGGGTTCAAGTGATTCTCCTGCCTCGGCCTCCCAGGTAGCTGGGATTACAGTCGCCTGCCACCATGCCTGGTGAATGTTTGTATTTTTAGCAGAGACGGGATTTCACCATGTTGGCCAAGCTGGTCTCAAACTCCTGACCTCAGGTGATCTGGCCTGCTTGGCCTCCCAAAGTACTGGGATTACAGGCGTGAGCCACCACGCCCAGCCTTCAATAATTTTTTAAACAAATAAATGCTTACCATCTAACTTCAAGCAAGCAAACAAATTAATACACGTAATAGACTGTATATGAAACGAGAGGCGGTGAGAAATGGAAGTAAAGACAAAGACATGACACTGAGAATCACTAAAGAATCTGGCTGAGTTACACAGGAGATTATGCTATACGTAAGTAATGGCATTACTAAGGCCCTTGGCAAATCCTGAGGAGCAGCTCACCTGGCCAGTTTTTTTGACCATGATGTTGTCACTATGTCTGTCACCAATCCCAAGGACATAAGAAGCTACACAGTAGCCAGCACAGGACAGTGTAAATTCCTCAATGGCTCGGTCCAGGTCATCCCTGAACAAGAGAAAAGAATAGAAGCAAAAACGGTTTTCAGCCTCCAAGCATGTAGAGTGAGACCCAAACCATACCTCTGTTTCCTTTTTAATTGTGAGGAGAACACAGAGCTGCCAAAACCATATGAGGGAACATGTGGATCAGCCAAGGGGAGTGTGGGTGGTCATCACAGGGGCTGGGCTGAGAGAGCTGCCTTCAAAGACATTAAATAACTGGGCCTCAGACATTCAAATGTCCTGGGAGCTGTGTTTTGGTGGGGCTGTGAGTGGGCTCGTGTAGAGTAGTCAGAAGAGACTATGGCTTTGCTAGATCATGCCGGGGGTTGGGAACATTTTTGTTAGTTTTGACCAAAGACTGACTACAATTTCATGTTTAAGACTTAAGCACTGCAGTTTCAACCATTTAAGTCAATGACTTCAATTGGAAGTAAGTAATAGAGATTCCCTGGAGACAAGGCCTTAAGATCAAAATTTAGAAACTGATTTTCATATTAAAAAAGTCCTCGATAAAATGTGTCTAACTCTGAAGTCTTTAGCCAAAAACACTTGCAGACCATTTCCCCCTCACTGTGAAATTTTTTTATTTCCTATACATTAGTGCTTTTCTAACACCATAGCCATAATTCCAAGCATTGCATTTTTTAGTTTAGAGAAATCACAATCTACAAACTCATTAAAAACTCACTTAGGTTCATATATTCACATAATTAGAGAAGCTGATGCACTTGAACAAAGGCTTTAATATGTTATCTTTAAATACTTAAATTCATAGATTGTAACTTTACAGCAGAGCTCCAAAATTTGATCTAGATAAAGTAGAATTCAATATTCACCAACTACAAGACTTTAGGAAGGGTTATGTGTCATTTTGTTCTAACATGAAATTGAAGAAATAGATAAAAAACACTAATATTTCCTCTAACGCACTGATGACTTCTATTGGGAGCATATAGTATTTGTTTGGTTGTTTGTACAGAAAAATTATAATTAAACAGAATAAACTAACCCAGAATTGTATTCTTTAAGCCAGTTCAGAAGGGCATCTTTGTTGAAGGCTGCTGCAGCAGCCACATTGCTACTGTTCAGCTGAATGTCAGCAATTGTTTCAGAGGTGCTCACAACTTCAATGAGGCCAGAGCGATCTCCTGTTGCTAAACAGCCATAAGGCAACATCCTGGAAGGAAAAAAATGGGCAAAAAGAGTCATATTTTCCTTAAAATGAAACATTAATTTGGTAAGATTTTCCCTTTAATTTTTAAAAAAAGTTTTATTATTATTGATATACTTGCCATTACTATATTATTGTCATATGGAAAAACACAAGTTCTACCAAAGAAATCTCTTGGCCAACAGGAGTAATTTACAAGGATTCCAATGTGCCAATTACATATAAAATTTTTTATCTAGTTATTCTGGTGAAACATTCTATTTGCTTGTGTAGGTGGACAGAAGTACATGGATCAAAGTCTTTCACTCTTACTCTAAATTTCAGGGAAATAAACTACTCTTTATGGAATATCCAGTAAGTGCTATGTGCCAGACTAAACAGTTTACATATTATGTTGGTTAAGGGAAACTCCATCCTTCTGGTTGTTCAAGCCTACAATCTTTTTTTTGTTTTTGTTTTGAGACAGGGTCTCGCTCTGTCACTCAGCTGGAGTGTGGTGGCATGATCTCAGTTCATTACAGCACAACTCAATGGCCTCCAGCCATCCTCTCACCTCAGCCTCCTGAGTAGCTGGGACTACAGGCATGCGCCACCATGCCGGGCTAATTTTTAGAAACTTTTGTTGAGACAGGGTTTGGCCATGTTGCCCAGGCTGCTCTTGAACTCCTGGACTCAAGTGATCCTCTCACCCCAGCCTCCCAAAGTGCTGGGATTATAGGCATGAGCTACCACACCTGCCCAAGTATGGATCTTCACTGTTGTATCCTCAGTGCCTGAGAATAGGCCTAGCACACAGTAGGTGCTCAATGAATATATTAAAATGAATAAACAAATTGAATAATACAATCCCTATAAGGTAAGTTACCAATTTTACAAATGAGTAATGTAAGCAATTTCCCAAAAGTCACACATTTAACTAAGTGGAAGATCTAAGACTTAAAGTTGGGCCTTAGATGGGTTTTAGATTAAAAAGATGTAAAAATGTCTTTACAAAGACAGTCACTGATTATGTAACAGGCTGCTTCTTGTGAGTGAAAATAGATAGGGAGGCTGATTTAGATGAAGAACTGCTACATGTTTTACAGTTCACAGTGACTGAGCAAAGAGTTAAACCAGAGCAGCAAAAGCAATACGACATCAGTGGGTCTTCATGCTGACTTCTCATTTCTTGAGTTGAGATTTTACCTCCCCAACTGGACTGCAAACTCCTTGGAGACAGCAACTTTAACTGAAAAGAGGTGACTGGAACAAAGGACTAGTCGTCTGTCAGAAAGATGAGAATTGATATTCTAACTAGACCAATACATTCTGAAAAATAGATTATCAATTAAATTTTTTGCTCAACTAATAGGTGGCAGTTTGCTTTGATTTGCACTTATTTGACGCCTAGTAAAGATAATTATTCTCAGATCTCTTTTGGCCATTTTTTTTCTTTTTTTTAAGAGTCAGTGTGTCTTTCTGTTGCCCAGGCTGAGTGCAGTGACACAATCATAGCTCACCATAGCATCAGACCCATGGGCTCAAGGCAATCCTCCCCTCTTTGGCTCCAGAGTAGCTGGGACTACAGGTGAGTGCCACTATGCCTGGCTGGTTTTTTTTGTTTTTTGTAGAGATGGGGTCTTGCTTTGTCACCAAGGCTTGTAACTCCTGGCTTCAAGTGATCCTACTGCCTCGGCCTCCTAAAGTGTTAGGATTACAGCCATGAGCCATTGCGTCTGGATCTTTTAAGCATTCTAAGATTTCTTTTGTGACTTAGCTATTTACATTCTTTGTCTATTTATTAGGGCTTTAGACATTTTCTTCAGTAACTTATTTGAGCTCTTTGTATATTAATATTACCTTTTTCTCATTTTGGTTGCAAATATTTTCTCTAATTTCTATTATAATAAGAACACTAAAATGGAATGAGATATCTTGAAAGGTTCAAACAAAGATCAGGTAGCTACAGAAAATACAATGGATGGAATTCATGTACTCAATAAATACTTGGGTACAGCTAACCAAGCATTGTGTTAGATTCTGGAGATACAGAAATAAGCAACAAACAAACAAACAAGAAAACCAAAGAGGAGCAGTTCCTACACTCACTGAGCTTATAAACTGCAAATGTACAATGTGCATGTGTGACCTCTGTATAAGGAAGAAGTGCCAGGAGAATATGGTAGGAGTCAAAAAAGACTTCCTGGCCGGGTACAGTGGCTCACGCCTGTAATCCCAGCACTTTGGGAGGCTGAGGCAGGCAGATCATGAGATCAAGAGATTGAGATCATGCTGGCCAACATGGTGAAACCCTGTCTCTACTGAAAATACAAAAATTAGCTGGACGTGGTGGTGTGCGCCTGTAGTCCCAGCTACTTGGGAGGCTGAGGCAGGAGAATCACTTGAACCTGGGAGGTGGAGGTTGTAGTGAGCCACTGCACTCCAGCCTGGTGACAGGGCAAGACTCTGTCTTGAAAGAAAAAAAAAAGACTTCCATGTGGAGGAATGACAGCAGGGCTGGAGGAGAGCACAAGGGGGAGCACAACAGAAAGATGAGGAAGACAAAATAAGTGTTGAAAGGACCATGCAGGTCCCTGTTGGCCATGTAAGGACTTCTGTCATACTCCTAAAAGCACTGAGAAAGCCTCTGAAGGACTTTATGAGCAACAAAGAGAGGCTGTGTGTGTGTTGTGGGGAGGAGGGAGTATATGAGTGTGTTAGCATGTATCACAATCAGATAGTTTCTAAAATTAAAGTTTCTAAAACTCCTTCCAAAAAAAAATTAAATTATTTTATGCTTTTTTAAAAGCACTTTTCAGCCAGGAACAGTGGCTCATGCCTGTTATCTCAGCACTTTGGGAGGCCGAGGCAGGTGTATCACCTGAGGTCAGGGGTTCGAGACCAGTCTGGCCAACATGCTAAAACCCTGTCTCTACTAAAAATACAAAAAATTAGCCAGGTATGGTGGCAGGTGCCTGTAATCCCAGCTACTCGGGAGGCTGAGGCAGGAGAACTGCTTGAACCCAGGAGGCAGAGGTTGCAGCAAACCAAGACTGCATCATTGTACTCCAGCCTGGGCAATAAGAGCAAAACTCCATCTCAGAAAAAAATAATAATAAAAACACTTTTCTAATTCTAGCAAAACGAGGTTGGGAGCAGAACTGTCAAAATACAAAATAAGAGAATGAAGCATTCTTCTAATGCAGTATTAATGTTTTTAATGATACCCCTTATTCTTATCATGACATAACACATGTAAAGCAAACACTGCCAGGTTAAAGAGCACTTTCTCACTTTCCTGCATCTCCTCTCACTCCAGTTGCAGCCAAAGTAGGCAGAAGTCCAATAACTTCCTTTTCAAAAGCAGGCAATGATAAAAGCTTTCAGTGCCTTGAGGGTAGAATGTTCACAATGAGAAGGAAAAACATCCTTCTCAGAGACACAGTTTGACAGAAGTCAAGCTGGAGACAAACTCTTGGGCCCTGATCATCTCACCTAGGTCCCCTTTGCACTCAACTTCTACACTTCTTATAAAGGCCAAGACTACAATTTCAGTAATGTTTACCCTCCTTTCTCAGACTTTCTGACTCAAGTAGCAATTTGTTACCTTTCACACTAAATCAAGCATTTAAAAATGAAATAAATTCTACAACACGGGGATGGCAGCACCATATCCTTACTCTAAACAGGTATATAGCAAGTTATCTGGTTTTAAAAATTTGTTTTTTACAACTTGTATATATTCATGGGGTAGAAGTGCAATTTTGCTACAGTGATATATTGCACTGTGGTGAAGTCAGGGCCTTCACTGTAGCAACACACATTGTACCCACCAAGCAACCTACCATCAACCACCCATGCCAACCCTTTAAGTCCCCATTGCCCATCAACTCATACCCCGCTTCTATGTGTATATATTATTTAGCTCCTACTTATGAGTGAGAAAATGTGGTATTTTTCTTTCTTATCTCTGATTTTGACTCCGACACAATGACCAAAGTCTGAGTAGTACCTTAGCCCATGGCTTCCAAAGGAGAAAAGTTTAAATCTTTTACCTAATGCTTGCATTATTTCCACCTTCTTCCTCCAACCCTCTGAGACTGCTGACACCACTGTCATTAAATAACTTTTGTATAGGTCTCTTAAAAGGGAAGTAGACCAGGCGTGGTGGCTCATGCCTGTAATCCTAACACTTTGGGAGGCCAAGGTGGGCAGATTGCTTGAGTCAAGGAGTTCAAGACCAGCCTGGACAACATGGTGAAACTTCGTCTCCACAAAAAGTACAAAAATTAGCCAGGCATAGTGGCAGGTGCCTATGGCAGCTACTCAGGAGGCTGAGGTGGAAGATCACCTGAGCCCAAGGGGTTAAGGCTGCTGTGAACCATGATTGTGCCACTGCACTCCAGCTGGGGTGATGCAGTGAGACCCTGTCTCAAAAAAAAAAAAAAGGGATGTAAAAGGTAAACTCCATTAGTGTAATTCGGATATGAAGTCTTAATGGAGGCAACTGTCAAAAAACTGATTTCACATGTATTTGTTGGGGTGGAGTGGGGGCATGCAGAGGACTGGCAAATCTACCCAAGGCCAGATAGGTTTACATGTACCCAGCCTATAAGATTTGCTTATTACTTGTTCGCCAAAGGAGGTCAAGGTGTCCTAACATATCAGTGTCTTACAAATGATCTAAGTTGACATGAAAGATACCAAAAGATTATTTTGGAACATCACAGAAAAATGAAGACGAGCAATATGCATTTTAAACCATGCAAACATGGCACTGTTACAAGTACTAAAATAGTAATGTACAGAAGGTACCTCAAGATTTGGGATTGACCTTAAAAGAGTGTGTGCTACGTGACCCACTTTAACCTAAACAGCTGGCCAAAAGAAAAAACAAACAAAATAGAAACATTGGAGCACATATATTTATAGAAACAGTAAAAAAGGTTTGGTGAGAAAAAGGTATCAGTTTGGAAATGAACTTAAAAAAAATTAAAGTCCTTCATTTTTTAAAAACATGGGGTCAG